CACATTCCAATTAGCAGTAATTATCAATACATCTTGGTTGTATGTTTGCTCAATTCAGACTGTAGAAGTTGGTAAAAATCTTCAATTTTTTCATCTTTGGCTTTAGTGGTTGGTGCATAAACTTGAATAATAATCATATTAACTGGTCTTCTTTATAGATGTATGGATCTTATCCTATCACTGACAGCATTTTACTTCTGGATATATCTTGAAATATTCTTTTTGACAATAAATGCAACATCATCCCTCTTTAACTTGTCATTGCCAGAATAATAGACCATATAATTATCTGATTCAAAATGGTCAATACCAGTCCATTTCAGCTCAGCAGTACCTAGGATATCAATCTTTATGTATACCATTTCCTTTTTGACAACTTCCAATTTTCCTAGATTCATACTCTGTGCATTCCATGTTCCAATTATGAATGAATGTTTGCAGCTATTTCTTCTCATTTTGAGTCATGCCACATCAGTAAATGAAGGTCCAGAAAGCTTTACTTCTTCCATGTCATTAAGGTTGTCTCTACTTTGAGGAGGCAGTTCTTCTCAGTTGTATTTTGAGTGTCTTCCAACATAAGGGGCTCATCTTCTGACACCGTATTAGATGATGTTTCCTGCTATCCATAATGTTTTCAGTGGCTTTCCCCCCACCCCCAGAAGTGGACCTGTCCAATCCCCCTTCTTAGTCTGTCTTCGTCTGGATGTTCTGCTGATACTTGTCCACCATAGGTGGCCCTCCTGGTATTTGAAATATTGGTGGCATAGCTTCTAGCATCATAGCAACATGTAAGTGACCCAGCACAAGACTGACAGACTATCGGTGGAGGTGTATCTGTAGGAAGATGTAAATACATGTTTGTATGTGCTGCATGTATTTATCCACATATATAACAAACTATATAGAGGGCACAGTTACAGAGTCTTCCTAGACAGATCCAAACAGCTTGTGGGATTAGTTTACTGGGTTAAAAAAAAAACTTGAGACCATAGTCTTATGGATAACTAAGTCAATGGGCATAACAAATCACAAAGATAACATTCTACATATTATTTTGGTGAGTAGCATCTGGGGTCTTAAAGGCTTATGACTGGACAGCTAAGATACAACTATTGGTTTCTATTCCGATGGAGCAAAAGACAATGAAGAAAACCAAAATTTCAAAGGAGAAACTAGTCCATGGCACTAATATTCCACACGAACCACATCCTTTTCTAACTTGGGACCGGAAGAACTAGATGGTGCCTGTACCACTACTGGCCATTCTATCCAAGGACCCAGTAGAAGGCTCTGGAAAAAATGGGAGGAAAATATACAACAAAACTCCAATTCCTAAAAAAATTGCCAAGCCTACAGGACCAATAGACACGAGAGGAATCCTTAAAACTAATGCCCTAAGATACTCTTTGTATTTGGAATTAAAGCTATTTCTGCTTTTAGGCAAATAATAGGTTGGCCTATAAAATAAACAATATCAGCTATGAGTAATTTGCTCCTCAGACAATTTACTATATGAAAAAAAATGTTGACCATTTATCCAAAAGCAAACATGAGAAGGCAAGGGGGGAAGGGGAAGCTAGATCCATGGAAATAGAACAAAAAGAATGGAAATAATGAGAATGCTGATAAACTCCAAACCAAACTCACTGCTGTCGAGTCAATTCCAACTCATAGCAACTCCCTTTGGGTTTCTGAAGTGGTAAATCTTTACAGAAGTTGATTGCCCAGTCTTCCTTCCGAGGAGTGACTAGTGGGTCTGAACCACCAACCTTCTAGTTAGTTGTCAAATGCCTTAGGCACTATGCCACCAGAGCTCTTTAGGAATGCTGATACATCATAAAAATTGTAACCAATGCTGCAGAACAATTTGTTTTAAAAAATTCTTAAAGGGAAACCTAATTTGTGTAAACTTTCACCTATAACACAATAAAATATTATTTTTTAAAAAAAGAGTTGAGTCCAAAAAAAAAAAAAACCAACCCAAACTCACTGCCGTCAAGTCACATCCAACTCATAGCAACCCCTCCTTGGGTTTCCATGGCAATATCACTACAGAAGTAGATTGCCCAATAGTCATTCCAAGGAGTGGCTGGTGGGTTTGAACAGCCTGCCTTTTGGTTAGCAGTTAAATACCTTAGGCACTACGCTATCAGACTTACAGAAATAATATACCTTAGAAATAACATAGTTATGCGTATGTTGTAGTTTGCTAGTGCTGCTATAATAGAAATAACACAAGTGGGTGGCTGAAAGGAACAGAAATTTATTTTATCTTAGTTTAAGAGGCCATTAGTTTGAACTCAGGGTGCTGGCTCTAGAGAATGCCATCTCTGTCCACTCTGGGAAAAATCCTTGTTTAAGCTTCTATAATGTTTTCAGCATTTCTTGAGATCACCACATGACATCTATCTTTCTCCTCTTCCTGCTTGCTTTCTTTTGTGCCCATTTTGCCCTATGGGGCATAACAACCCTGTCCAGTAAGTTTGCTATGAGTTGGAATCAACTTGTTGGCAGTAGGTTTGATTTGGTTACCTAATATATGGATTATTAACTCTGCACATGAACATCATCCAGATTAATCTTTCTAAAGTATTATTTTCATCATTCTCTTCCATGTTTACAAATATTATATACAGTAAATCTACTAGATATCTTTGAAAAAGACATTTAATCATGTGCCTTAGTTTACTCATCTATAAAATGGGGATGGTAACAGTAGTTACCTCATTGGGTTACTGAAAATGAAATGGGTTAATAATTTTCAAGCAGTTAGAATAGTAAGCACTTTATATATACTTGTTAAATAAATATCTAATAATAAATGATACAATAAATAAATACATAGATATCTTCCCCATTGTTTGTCCTGGTACTTAAAGAGCTCAACTTGAGAAAAAACTCATGCCTATGGGTTTGACACTGTACGTACATTCTATCCAAAGTGCTTACATTTATAAATTGTTGTTCATTGCCATCGAGTTGGCTCCAACTCAATGTGACCTTGCGTACAACAGAACGAAACATTGCCTGGTCCTGAGTCAGTGTCACAGTCTTTGCTATGCCTGAACCCATTATTGCAGCCACTATGTCAATCCATCTCATCCAGGGCATTCCCCTTTTTCACTGACCCTCCACTTTACCAAGCATGATTCCTTCTCCAGAGAATGGTACTTTCTGACAACATAACCAAAGTAGGTGAGATGATATTCAGAAATACTTGACAATTATTTATGTGCAAACAGCAGTATTTCTAATAGCAAAACATTGAAAGCAACCTACATACCCAGCAGTAGAGAAATGTTTAGTAAGAAATGATGAGGGAGAGGGAAAGAGGGAGTTATTGCTTAGGGAGCATTGAGCTTCTGTTAAGAGTGAAGGAAAAAAATAGAAATTAATAGTGTTGATGGTTGCACAACATGATGAATGTAATTAATGTCACTGAATTGTACATTCAAAGAATGTTAAAACGGCAAAATTTATATATATACTTACAATTTAAAAAAACTGCTTAACAGTCTAGAAAACATGTAACAATCTCTTAAAAATGAATTCATACTGTGGAAAACTATAGGAGCAGTTAACTTTGTTGACAGGAGATAAATTTGACATATAAGGATGGACACAACATATTGCCAACTGAAAAAAGCAAGATGAAGAACAAAAAGTACAATATGGTTTCATGTAGATACAGTATTTCTGGAAGAAGATAGCAGAGGACAATGTTACTCTAAAGGAATGAGGTTATATGATCTTCTTACAATGACCAGGTAATTAAAGCTGATTATAAACAAAGGAATAATGAAGAGGAAAAAACTGTTGTTTTTTTTTTCTAAGACCTTAGTTCTTGGAAAACTCACTTATCAAAAGATAGTCTTTTTGCATTTTATGTTCAGATTGACCTTTATTTGAACTGAATGAACATATTGGTGGATTTGCATTGATAAAGTAGTTTGCTTCAGAATATATATCCCACCAAAGATTGTTTTAAATACCTTGCAAATAAACGTCAAAAGTTAGTTTTATTTTTTTTTAATCTGAGAAATAAGCATTATGAAATATGTATGCTTTATCCTAGAAGTTACCCAGAAATCATTAATAGGATGAGACACAGAATTCTCCATCTTAACCATTTGTGAGCGTTAAGGTAACAGCTTTTGTATTCAATAAACAAATCTCCGTGGAGGCTGAGCATCTTTAGGTAAAAGGCTTAATTTACTCATCCTCTTGGGATTCTCTGCTTTTGAGAATCACCTTCACTATCAAGAAAAAACTCAGGGAGTAAATAAAGTCAGGTCCACTTGAACCGCCGCCCCCCCTTTTGCACAGACGTTCTTCAGGAATTTTTATGCGCTTGATCCGATCTCAAAAGGGTTTGGGGCTTGGAAGTGTTTCAAGGGGTGGCAGTAGGAAGTGGTCTCAAATAAATTACATGGGGGCAATTTAACTACTGAAGCACCTGCTTTGTTTAAAAAAACAGCTTATTTTCATTTGTCATCACTGGTCCTCACTGGGTAGCTAGGCCTTGGCCACCTGATGACGCTAATGACGCGCGATGTCTCCCAGCTGCCACAATTAGAAAGTCCGAGCCTTCTCCTTTAAGAAGCCGACTCACGTGGATGCTGTGTTGTGTGCTCTCAGCTGGGAAGGGGTGGATCCTAAGGCTCACCACAATGGCCGCCTCAGGAGAAGGGGCATAGTTGGCCTCTTCTATTGGCTGTATGAATCCGAAGTGTTGGGTCAGGGGCGGGGCGAGTTGCCTAGAGCTGGGCCCAGGTCTGCAGTTTCTGAGAGGGGTGGGCCACTGAGCAAGGGGAAGCGTCAGTCGGGGAGCGTGATCCAGGGAAGGGGCGGGGCCTAGCGTAAGGGGCAGGGTGACGGTGGGAGGAGCGAGACCTAGAAATGAAGGGCGTAGTTGGCCAACCGGGAGAGCCCATTTTAGGGAGGGCGGGGCTACGATGGGTGATTGACACTGATGCCAAACCAGGGAGAGGCGGGGCCAAGGCCGGGGCCTGACTAAACCTGAAGACTCGGGTCGCCTGGGGGCTTCATCCCAGCTGGAAAAAGTAGAACCGGAGGGAGTCGAGAATCTCACAGCTGCTCAGGGTGAGTGCCAAGGGCGAAGGCTGAGTTCAGAGGCTGGTGGGGGGTGAGAGACGTCTCCGGGTCTTGCGGCGTCGAAGTACTCGGGGATGGGCTCCGGGGCGGGGGGCCCGCGGCAGGAAGTGATTCTTCGTCCCTACACTAGTCCCAGGGTCCCAGGGCGGGGCGGCCACCTCTGGCTCCCTCTGGGCGGACCCTCGGCGCTGGGACTGCGGGCCAACGAGCTGGGCTGTTTCCTCTTTGTGAGGCCCAGGCGCGGCGGCCGCGGTCGGCCCGCCCCCGCCGCGCAGCTGGGGTACCCGCCCGACAATAACAGCCTCAACCACCTCTGCGTCCGCGCCCCCGCACTTCCACCCACAACCTTGCCCTCCCAGCCCCAATTCTAAAGCTGTGATCTCGCGGTGCCCCTCCCCCAAACGCAGCCTCCGAGGCCCTGTGCGTCGCTCCCTAGGCCTCCAGCGCCCTCTTTTCACGGACTGTTTGGCCTGAGATCCCCACTCCCTGCCTGCCTCGCCTATATTGGCAGACCGTCCCCGCCGCAGTGTCGGCGGCGCGCTCCAGGCTCCGCGCCTTGGGGTTCCTGCCGCTGCGGAGGCGTGCGCTTCCCCTCGGCCTCACCGCGCCCCCTCCAGCGATCGGCTCCCGGGGTCCCTGCTCAGCAGCGCCCTCCGCTCGTCCTTGGGAGCGTGCTGGCTCCTACTCAGAAGTCAAGTCTGAACTCGATTGGAGAGTTCTTTTGGCAAGGATTACGGTACGGCGTACCTCTTCCTTAAAATGAGCAACAAACTGGAGCAAGTGGCGTTTACCATGGGGAGGGAGAAGTGTTTGCTGCTGTTTGCTCCTCTGCAAGGTAAATGTCCGCAGCCCTTGCCCTCCTGTTTCCCGATTGACCCCTGAACTGAGGCTGTGAGGACTCCAGGAAGGGGGAGGTCCCCGCTGCCCCTGGAGGAGGATGTGGTGCGCTGGTACGGGAGGCAGTGGAGTGTTCCGGACCGTGGGAATCCGCGGGGTCCCTGAACGCAAAGGCCGGGGCAAGGCCGGCTTGGACCCCGCGCCCGCCGCCTGCTCAGCTGTTTCCTGTCGGTGTTTGTTGTGTTAGGCGAGGCCCCGCCGCAGTCGCGCGCCGGCCGCCTTGGCCCTTTGCGATTTGCTCGCCAGCGTCACGTGCCCGCAATCAGCTGTAGGCAGCAGGGGCTGCGGGAAGCTGAGCTGCTTCGTCCCGCAGCCATCGAGTGTACCAGCTCCGAGGGTTCGCAGATAGCTCTCCTACAGAGAAAAGGTAGTCGTCCTTTAGCAACACCTTACACGCCTGACAGGTCGGAGGACAAATGAATATTATTAACGGTATGGTTGAAAAACGAAGTGCTTCAAAGATCTCTTTAATCCTAACACTTACAGTGCCCCTTTCAAAGAGGAGTTTAATTAGCCTGAGAAGGTGTACAGCTCATTTATTTTTAAAACTTTTTCTGTTTACAGAGTCCTGTTTGTAATCTGAGGATTTTTATTCCAGATCTCCTGACAAATGGAAAACCTGAAGTAACTTCAGGCTAACCTTGTGTTTTTGAAAAATTAGACTTAATGTTGAAGTAACTGGGAGTGATAAGATGTTAGCTAAGTTTGCGTAATCACATATACAGTGTTGCAGCTGCATTCCAACAAAGATAAACTGAAAGCACGCCATGTTTCCACGGTACATATTTGTGCCAGGTTGGAATTTTTTCCTACAAGTTTGTGGTGTACTTGTTAGTATGTTAGGTAAGAAAGAAAGAATTTTTTCTAGAAGCTTAAAATTTATTAGTAAAGTCATGGACAAATGAAGTAACAATACAGAGTTGAATGTTACAAGAGCTCAAAAATAGGGCAGTGAGGGATGTGAGCAGGAGTGGACTAGGTGTATTTTGAAGTAGATAGGTTTAATTAGCCCTAGAAAATGAAGAGGCTTTGACTTGCTGTTGAGCATTCAAAGGATTAGGAAAAACAGATCTGAAGTATTTACAAATACTAAGAAGGTGAAGCCTGTGGAATTTGGCACACAAAATATTTCCACAGCCCTATAATCTTTCTGGGAGCCCTGGTAGCATAGTGGCTAAGACACTTGACTGCTAACCAGAAGGTTGGCTGTTCAAACCCACCAGCCACTCCTCAGAAGGAAGATGGGGCAATCTACTTCCATAGTGATACTGCCTTTGAAACCCAAGGAGGGGTCACTATGAGTTGGGTCCGACTCAACGGCGCATAACAACAACATAATCTTTCTGGATATGTACTAAAATACTAGGTAGAATGTTAACTCCTGGGAAGAGGTAGACTGATTTTATTACATGTGTTACGCACTTCATTCAGCCTAATAGATTTAGTGGTGCTTTTTTTTTTCCCTGAAACTTATCTCTTACTTATCTTTAGGAGGGTGGTGCTCAAGTAAAAGAAATGTGCTCTATAGGGGAAACGTAATTTGTTGGATTTTTAATAATAATAGCTTTTCTAAACAAGGTTCATAAAATACATGTACTTCTTCTAAAATAATGTTTGGTTGGATCTTTGAAGATTTTTTACTCTAGACTTGTTTACTTTTCTTTTGCTCTATTTAGTGGTGGGAAAGAGAACCAGGTTGAAAAATAATACAAAAGGAAAGAAATAAGGGCAAAAATTGTTTCTAAAAAGAAAATATTAAACTAGTTTCTAGTCTCAAAAAAAAAGTTTATAAAGTTAGCTCTAAGTATATTCATGTGATAAGAAGGTAGTACTAACTGTATTTGAATCTAGAATACTGTTTTTTAAATTTTATAGAACCCTAGTGGCACAGTGGTTAAAGCACTGGGCTGCTAACTGAAAAGTTGATGATTCAAATTTACCAGCTACTCCAGGGGAGAAAGATGGGGCAGTCTGCTTCTGTAAAGATTATAGCCTTGGAAACTCTACTGTGCCCTATGGGGTCCTTAACAATCAAAATTGACTCAACAGCAATGGGTTAAATAATTACATCAATTAATACCAATTTTCCTGGCAATCCTGTGTAGTAATTTTGAAGTCATATAGCAACTGAATCTTAACTATGACATGAACTTGCTACTTTACATCTGAATCAGGAAACTAGACAGTTAAATTATGGTGCAATGAAAGGCTTTCCCCCCCCCCCCCCCCCATCACAACAAATGAGAAATGATGAATTTGCCTTGCCAGAAGGTGTTTTGGGGAGATTACCAACTCTGATCATCCAGCTGACTCACTGAATTATATGACTAGTCTTATTTTCTAGATGACTAAGCATTAAGTATTATAGAAATATAGCAAACATGGAAAACATTTAACAGACAATAATGTATTACTGGGAGTGGGGGTGGAAAGCATGCACTTAGAAGTTACTGCCAGATGAAGAGCTAGTTCCACAACTAGAGCATCATTTGACAGACTAAACTGGTCAGATATTACAAGAGAATTAACAAGATCAGAACTTTATAGTGTCACTGAAACCTTGGCTTAGTAAATATATTTTGTATAAAATTTGGACAGTTGGTTTTATGGATCAAATTTTATTCCAGTAAAACCTGCGAAAGCTGGACTCTGAGGCAGAAACCTGTCAGAAAGAAGAAAAAGCTGTTTTCCAATAATCACTCACTGCCATTGAGTTGATTCTGACTTAAGCAACCCTGTAGGACTGAGTGAAACTGCCTGATAGGGTTTCCAAGGCTGTAAATCTTTTCTTAAGCAGATTGCCACATTTTTCTCCCAAGGATCAGATCAATTGGTAGGTTTGAACTGCAACCCTTTTGGTTAACAGCCAAATGCTTTAACCATCAAGCCACTCAAGTGCCTTTTTGACTAATAGAAAACCGAAAAACCATACTTACTGCCATCAAGTTGATTCTGACTCATAGTGACCCCCTTTGAGTTTCTGAGTAAATCTTTACAGAAGTAGATTGCCTAGTCTTCCTTGCATGGAGGGCTAGTGGGTCTGAACCACCAGGCTTTTGGTTAGCAGTCAAATGCCTTAAGCACTACACCACCAGAGCCCCTTTTGGACTGTTGTTGTTGTTCTTATGGACTCCACTCAGGACAACCCCTCCTTGGGTTATCAGTAGGGAAGTAGATTGCCCAACCTTCCTTCCAAGAAGTGGCTGGTGGGTTTGAACTGGCAGCCTTCTGGTTAGCAGTCAAGTGCCTTAGGCACTGTGCTACCAGAGCTCCTTTTGGACTAATAGAGAGCAATTAAAAAAAAAAAAAAGTGGTAAGACTGCTACATGTCAAAGACAAAAAACTAGTGAGACCTGAAAAACAAGGCAGTCCTGTCAAGTTCCAGCTCATAGATTTCACTATTTTTTTCGTTGTAGGTTTTCAATAGAATTTAATTACAAATCAGTATGAAAATAGTTGATTAAATTATAATAGCCTTAAATGTTAATTATTACAGTGGTTAAAAATGTTAAAACTTATTTGGATTTTGTTCCTTCCTTTGTTTAGGTAAGAGACTGAAAACCAGATTTACAAGCATGCTTCTGCATGTTTCCATTTTAGCAGAATCATTACAAAACAAAACCTCCCCTGGAAGAGGCACATTCTTTTAACCCTTTCTGCGCTTGCTTCCTTGTACACTCAGTTCCCTGCTAGGAGAGAGTCTTTGTATCTTGACCTTACCTACCATTTTCCAGGGCAATGGGGAAAAAAAGACTTCCTGCTGTTGCCTCTATTTGGATTCACAGTGACCCCATGTACTTCAGAGTAGAACTGCAGCTCCATGGGGTTTACTTGGCTGTAATCTTTCTTACATAAGCATTTCATCAGGCCTTTCTTCCTGGGCTCTGCTGGGAGGTATATATTTGGACTATCATCCATTCTGTTAGTAGTCAGCACCCCTTTTCAACTATCAAAGACTAGAGGTCCAGTGGAGTATGCTCTGTGTAGTTCTTGGAAATGACCTGAGGGGATCATTCCTTTAAGAGCCCTCTAGCTGTGAACTGGGTGTTTTCTCTGTCTGAGGGTCTTCAGAGATGCAAATAGAGGCCTAT